TTATTTATTACTTCGACACTCCTGCATTTAGGAGAAGACATCAATCTTTTAGTCGTGTCATAAACATTGTTTTATCAACACTTGGCCTTCTTAAAACTGAGGGTAGCAATTGACTCCCTCAAAAGATAATGTTTTAATGTTGCAGTAAATGAACTTAAAGTTACTTGATAGAAGAAGATTTTGAATGAATAGAAATTAAAGACAACTCTAAACAACTTTGTATACATATATGAATCTATAATTAAGATATGTTTTAATCTTATCATTGTTATCTTTTTTAATAGACTTCATACATCTATCAAATCTTTTACTGACATACTTTAAAAGATATTTAATGAGCATTGATTGACAATAGATCTTAATGTTTATATGAGTTTTGTATTGTAATAATAAATCTATGTTGTATGGAACAACACGATTGTTGTTTAGTTCAACCCATCTTTAATAATAGATTTTCCATGTTGTTCTCTTTTTCTATAATAAATAAACCATTGTCATCAAAGATTGTTTTGATTTTTTATATTTTTTGGGAAACACTTTGAACACTTTCTTTTCTTCATGCATTTACTCTTTCGGTTTGTAAACCACATGGACTATAAATCATATACCATGAAACAACATCATAACATATTGGATCTTTGTCTTTATCATGTATCTCATCACAAATAATTAAATCAACATTTAAAACCATAAGCGAGCCATACTAGCAAATATCAGCATGAAATGTGTTTTCAGGAATTCATCTGTGCTAATAGCTAATAAGAAAGGTTACATAATGGATTTCTTCAATTATTAGCTTATCAAATAAGAGAGCATGTCAAAATATCTAAGGAAGGAAAAAACAAAAAAAAAAACAAAAACATTCGACAATACTTTCAACTCTATGACCAATTTCTTTGAATTTCTAGCCATTTGGTCAATATTCAAAAATGTCATCCTCAAGCAATCAAACATCAAATCCAAAAGTCTCAGCCCCCACTCTCCCAATAAAGATTAAACACCCAAGTACATTGCAATGAGATGTGCATTTAATGTAAAATCCTAGGCGCACCCCACTAACTAAGGAAGGAGAAGGCCCATAACACATCCATCAACCAACCACAACTAAACCACCATAGCCGAGCCAAAATCCAATCAAACCCACTAGCTCCATGGCCTTCAAACGATAACCTAACCATATGCACACCTAAGTACAAACTCGAAGTAGTCAAAGCCTCCCAAAAAAAATAGCAAGCCTTATAGCCGAGATGTAAAAGTGGAAAAACAATTATCTTGCGCGAAGAAATTAGCAGGAAGCAAAGCATCCCTCAAGAAACATTGCTCTATTCCACAATAATTTCACTTATTAGAAGTCAGCGAGGGCTCTTAGGGTTTTTTATTTTTTTTTGTATTAAGAGAATTTAATATAAAAAATCAGGTTATTTATGTCAAAAAGCTGAATGTCTTGGCATCTCAAATGGCCGTGATTTTAATTTTTAAAGAGAATTACATTCGTAGCTTACATTGGAGATTCTTTGAATTGCTTTTTTCAGATAATCTTGAATGGAGTGATACCAAACACCTAAATCCGTTGTCATGGAAAGGACTCAATTAACAACTTTTTTATTATTTAAGAACTTGATTGACACAAAAAGAAAACTCAGGATTTGATTGAGAATCCTTGCATGGTTAGCTTAAATTTTAAGGAAGAAGTTACTGCCGCTCAAGGTTGAAATTCAGAGAGGTGATGATTTCAAGCAAAAAGAAACGGGAGGTACATGGTATGAAATAACTTGTTGAGATGAATCTAGCACCACGTGGAGATGCCAAATGAATAAAAACTGACGCAAATTTTAAATGGTTCAGAGAGATGATGATTTCATCTAGCAACTACAATGTTGTTAAATCTTTGCATTTACTAACAGAACAAGGATAATACGAGCATACAGAACATTACAATATTTAATTCTGCATCGCAGATAAAAAAAGAAAAAGAAAAATGAACTACCACGTAAATGAGACTACTGCATATATGGTTGGTGTGAAGATCGCGTTCCAGCACCCATATAACTGCCATAATTAGGAGGAGCTGCACTATATGAGGAGGCAGCGGTAACCCTGTCATCTTGAGGATTGTAGTACATCTTTTGATCATTAGCTTGCTGGCCATATGCAGATTGGCTAGGAATCTGATATTCATAGGGATTTGGAACAGCATGAGGATACCTCTCAGGCAGCATTCCAGGGTACGCTGTCCAAGGAGGTGGAGCTCGCCAACCACCTGCAGGACCAGTGGCAGCACCTCGTAATCCACGATAACCTCGATTAACTTTTGGTTTCTTCGATTGGTAATGTTTACCAAAATCACCTGCCCTCTTCTTATCAGATTTCGATTTCTCCAATTGAGCAAGCCTTTTCTGAAGTGGATCAAGTGGGTAGTCAGCTTCAAGCTTGTACTCTTCAACACACCTGATGACAACTTTCAGTGCTGCAAGCTCTAGTGCATTTCCATCAACCTGTGTACAAAGAGCAAGTCGTAAGAAAGTATCATTCTGTTGAAATATACTAGCAAGTAGCAACATTCACTATTTCCCGTATTTTTTCTTCAAATAGAAATGTACCTGTACACCTGCACCACCTCCTGAGTTTCCACCCTTTCTTTGTGTGTTCTGTGAGTTTCTTCTCAAATCCTTCAAGTATGTCTTCAGGAGGGGAACAGGAGGGAAAATTTCAGTAAGCTGGAAGGCATGGACAAATCGAACAGCATCAATTTGCTTCCCATCGTTGACCAATGACTCAACAACACCTGCAAACATAATGCAGGCTCGGTAAATTCAAGACAAAACAATTTAACAGCCCAATTAGAATATCAGAGTTAAACTGATTGCAAGAGTCCATGTTTGGTCAATAATTATAAGACTACCATGTCCTAAAGGAATGAAGAGTATGAAACATCCTAAGGAAACAATGGTCCAGTCTCCAGGCTCCTCAGGTCAGTTAATTAAAAGAACACCAACCTGGTATTTTGTGTGTTAAACCAAGAGAATGGCAGAGCTCAGGTGCTTGCCTGCGCTGGGCAATTACAAGAACAAGCTTGCAGAGTTCTTCTTCATCAAACTCCGAAGCAATTCTAAAAGTTGAAAGGAGCTGCAAGAATGCTTCTGCTTCCAATGGATCTCCATTGGTAGCATCAGTGCCCGCACTAGACAACTTAGGCTTCCATTCATCAGCAAATGCCTTGGCTTGCTGCTTTATTTCAGGGTTTAGAAGGTGATCAGCACCTGGGTCAATTCTTGCCAATAAGGCAGCCATGGCTTCCATAAATATAACACAGGATTTGCGCATGCCCTGAAGGGCAGCATCCTTCTTATCCATTTGTTGGCCGGTTTCAACAGGAGGATAAAACCCCTCTAGTGAATCCAGCACCAAACGGGCTGGTTCAGTTGCAATTTCTAGTGCAACAGAAAGTTCATCACGGATGGCATATAAATTTTTTTGATTCTCCATGGCAAAACTCAGAAGCCCTTTTGCATCCATCTGCTTGCAAAATTGTGTGAGCTCTGGACGTGGCTTAACATCAGCAGCCACACCATCAGCAGTTTCACCCATTTTTTGAGAATACTCCCCTGGATAATTTATTTCAGCAAGAGAGCTGCTTACCTTTCTGTCTATGTTATCTCCTCCACCATCAATGCACTCCAAAGAGCTGGGCTGGTGATTAGCTCGTGCCTCTGCGATGACAGAAACAGCAGTATCTTTTAGCTCCTGTATTCGATCTAGGAGTTCTAGTTCCTTAGTGACAACAGCCACCTCTCTCTCAGCAAGCAATGCACGAGTTTCAGCTTCTTTCTCTTCATATTCTTTCTCCCTAGCTTCTAACTCTTCAGATTTTTTCTTTAACACCGTCTCAAGGTTGCGGAAATGTTCTTCAATTTCCATCCACTGAACTTTTTCCTCAGAAGAATCCTTGCAAGCTTCTAGCTCATGTAATGCCATCCCAAGCTGTTCTATCAGAGAGGATCCAGCATCATTTTCCACAACCTGCTCAGAATTAGCCATTGCTGATTGAAGAGGAGGTGCTTTGTGGATTTCTAAAGGCAGGAAAACATAAAAGGAGTATAAGAAACAAAAATGTCATGTGCCCAATTTCAAGTGAAAGAAAAAAAGAAAAAAATAGATGAAAATACACTTAATGATTTGGAGTTTATAGCTCAGATTCCTACCAATCTTGGGGCTCATGATCGACAATTTCATGCAAACCTCCCTCAATTTTCTTTATCCTCTGGACCAATTGATATCTTTATTTTAAGTTGCCTTTTATAAAGATTTTTGGCACAATTCAACAACCAAGCCAGCCTATCATGTAGTAGACCAGTGAACTATCTGGGTTTCGACAGGTTTATTATACATAATTACACAAGCGAACATTCAAAATGTAGAATTGAGACAGTTAGGTTTCCTTCATCAAACAATGTTGTATCATTCACATGAGAAATTCTTTGAAACATTTTATGTATCTTTTCATGATGATACCATTTTATCCAGAAAACAACAACAGCAACATTTGAACAAGCCTATAGAAGAACCTTTCAAACTTAAAAGACGTCACTTAAGGAGCAAAAAGCACAACATGTTAGAGATGAGCTTACCAGCCAACTTATGATTAAGCCTAGCACACTTGAAATGGATCAACAAAAACAAATCCTCTAAAAGAACATGATAGGAAGATATTCCAGATGAGATTT